TTTTCACTTGGAAGTACAAGTGTTTAATTGTTAAAATATATATGAAGCAATAGGAATGCCGCGTTTACAATTTTATTTTTGTCCGTCATTTCGACATCTCGCGCGTCGTCATCATCGTCGTCGTCGTCGTGTACTTGTGTATACCCACGGTTGTATTTTTCAAGTATGAGCAACCAGTTATTAATGATATACCCTCGTCGAGAGAGAGAGAGAGAGGAATTCTTTAAACATAAAAAAATTCATAATAAAAGATTGTTTATCGTTGATAAAAGGCCCTGCGCTTTTGCGCCTATTTACCTTGGAGGTAATTGTTTTTTTTTCTTCTTCTATTTCTCTCCCCTCGTCTCTTTGCCGCGCTAATTAACATTAATGTGATCGGCGACTTGTTTGCTGGTTATAACATTGCGTCAATTTTTTTTTAATTTTCATGCATCGAATCAATGTTTGATTGTTAATACGTCGTTATGTATATATATTGTTTGATCGCGCGCGAGCCTATCGTGATTGCAGTGCCATTAGATTTTTATTAAAACAAACAAGTTGCTCGTCGTGCAAATGTACTGGTAACAGTGTAGTTACTAATTATATGAAATAGTGGCAGATCAGCTAAATTAAAAGTTTGTACGTAACAAAATGGTGGTAGCGAGTTGAGAATTTGTTTGTCAAAGGGAACGTAAAAAGAAAAAAAAAAATGCGAAAAAAAAAGTAGATTCGTATGCATCCTGACAAGATGCAACCAACGTATAAGCATACATCGGATGAAATTTGTTTTTTTTTTTCTCTTCACTTTTGGGAAATTCCCGGTTTGCCGTGAAAGATATTTTTATACCCTAAAGTGCTGGAGTGTATCATCGTCCTCTTAATTTTCTACATGTCCTAAAAAAACACCATATACTTAATCGTCCAAAGCAAATAAAGATGTACCAGTTAAAATCAATTTATACGCGAAGGTCAATCGATTACTTCGAAAAATATACATACTGGTTGTTTCGGTTCTTATATACCGCGTGTACTGCGGGTAAACTAATCCATTGCACCGAAATTAAAACTGTACAGTATAGTAACACGCTAAAAGAGTTGAAAAAAAAAAAAAAAAAAAAAATAAGCCACCACTTGCTTATATCTCGAACATTGAATCTTGGGAAATAAATCACATATTGTGCGTGTACACGCGTCGCGAGATCTCAAATGATTTTGGAGGGGACATGGGAAGCCTGCTGGGATGATGTATTTGGTACACGCGAAAACCACATGTATCGGTCGTCCTTCTTGCACGCGTGGACGAAAAAAATGAGGCAAAATGGGTCACGGTACAGAGGCAAAAATTGAGACAACACGGCACACGACCCATTGGCGATTATATATACGCACTTTATTTGTCAAATCGCGAGTTTTATAAACATGCAAATAAATTCCATTAATTTCTTTATAATCGTAAAAATACCAGTGACGTATGGCCCATCCAACGAACCAACTTAATTATGCGCCGTAAGTTACATCACTGCACAACACATCTCTTCATATGCACGAACACACTAGCTCGAAATGCGTCAAGTTTTATTCGCCGGTTCTAAATGACATAAGATTCGTAAGCCGAATTTCGTTACGTAACACTTTATATATTATGTATACATGGATGCGCCCACGAATGGCATTTTTTTTTTTTTTTTTTTTTTTTTTCCTCTTATTTTTTTTTTTTTTTTTTTTTTTTTCTTTTATTGCTGCACAAACGACGTTTGCTATTGATAGAACAAAAAAAAATCGGACGACAAGATAAGTAGACACCGAGCGAATGTTGGGGTTGAAAAATAAAAATCGGCAAAAGCAACGGATCGACTGGTTTTTTTTTGGAAATGTATGCTTCGTCATCGGGATAAATGATACCATCTTTTCTTTCGCGTGGATAAAGCGTGGGGTTGATGATAAAAAAAATTCCACTATACAAACCCCCTGCGTGTGTAATCCATGCGGTACGTAGCATAGAAAATTATTGAGTTATAACATTTCCACGCACATGGTAATGCATAATATACTTATACTCAAGCTGCAACTTATCAAAAGCACAGCATCAGTAGTCGTCACTGTGTGTATATGTATAGGTATGACGCGGGTGTCGCAATGATCATCGTTACAAAGTCTCGCGCAGGGTGATGCACGTGTGCGAATAAACGAGTGCACTCGTCAAAATGTGAGTGGAGTACAGTTCAAAAAAAAAAAAAAAAAAAAAAAAGAATCGAAGAAGATGAGATTCCAACTCACGAGGGAGCCGGAGTTATATATTTTGAATTCAGATCCCGCGGGAGCTCTCTCTCGCTTTCACTATTGCTCCTCGGCATATCATGTGCTACATGCTTACGCGCAACCTATCGAGCATAGGATCCTTTTCGGTTTGTTGCTACTGTGGAAAATATGATTTTTTTATTTTTTTTTGAGGGAGAGGGAGTACTATTTGACGTAGGTTTTACACGCGTATCTAGGAACGTGGTAAATTGATTTTTTTTCTTTTTTTAATGCACTGTAAAATAATAATTATACCATAGGTAGACTGAAAAACTTGGAAATGATTGCTCCCCCAAAGGTATCGTAACTTTGATTGATACTTTTTCTTTTGCGTAGCATAGATCGATTTTCAGCCACGCCCTGATCGGTCACTTCACAAAAAAAAGCCACGTTCGATGGCACGCCACCTCAAATGCAGTATAATTCTGTAAACCATTGTACCACACGTATAACGATTAAATGACAAACTCGGCCACTTTTCATCCTCCCCTTTGCAGGGTATACAGAGCACTGTCTACCTCCATACATTTTACGCTCGGACGCGTCACGACTCGTTATCCTAGGATAACCAGATAAACGGCCGATTGTTAAAAAAGGATAACCGGTAATGGTAAAATGGTATCCTTGGTCGGAGCCAGCTTCGATGAGCCGCGTATGCATAAATCTTCGGAGGGCTACCCGCAAATCGAGCCTCGATCGGCAGATTATTATTTTCTCCCCCGCTCGTACATCGGGCAGCTGCTTTTAACCGTGTCGCTATAGGTTGCGCAATCGGGGCTCGGACGAATTTTATAAATATATATATGCATCCCAAAACGTGAGCCCGTCGGGGATTATGTGCTTCGAGCCAACCGCGATATCGTCTTCGGTTCGTGCGTTTATTCTCAAGTCTCATATAGTTGGAGAAAAAGCCACGTGTAGGTGGACGTATGGAAACCGATCATCAATGTGGATTCGAGCAAATAAATAACGCTTGATTTTGACTCCCATTTTAAATTGATTTTTTATGTTTGGTGATCATTTTCCTAATTGGGCGGGCTACCCTACTGGTGTTGCGTGTGCTCGCGCGCTGTGAAATTCAAGGCACAGTTTTTCGATTGAAAAATGAGGCGACAATCAAAGTCCGTCACTTTTGGCATTAAGACGAACAGCAGGTGATTCCAACGTATTATATATGCGTACACGGAGAAAAAAGTGGTTCCCCAAATCTCAATGCATATACAGGCTGTTTTATCTCCTCCTGAAAACGTGGACGGACAAGGTTAACTTTTCATCTCGTTCGCGCCGAGAGACGACCGCACAATGTAATCTTCTGGTTGTCCGAGGATCATTTCAAAGAAACGATATGATGGGTCGTCGCCTTCGGCGGTGCCATGGGTTCCCACAAATGTGTATATGGTAGCTGGATGTCACGCACACCATATACGTATATACAGCCTTTGTTCATTCGCGCATTTTTTTTTTTTTTTTTTTTTTTTTTTTTTTTCACACGTTGCGTGAATAAGTATCCAGTGTATACTTTTTGTAATAACGTGCTACCATTGGCCTAAATGTACGCTTTCGTTACATTTTCTGCCACAATTTTGAATCGTACGTCGTTACACATTATATACCTTTTTCTTTTACCTGTACTACTATGTTATTATTATTCAACGATCGGTATTTGGGTGTTGAATTAATTGAAGGAGCAACGATTGAGACCTAAGAAACAATTAGTTTATAGATTTCGTAATACGAATTTCTTTTTTTTTTTTTTTTTTAATATGATGCATTATTTTTACCGAATAATTAAACAAAACTTTTCTCGTCATAAGTAGCGTGCAATATATTTTAATCTATTCAATTAGATATTTTTAATAAATTCTTCGACACTGTTGTCTCTTCGAAACTTTGTTTTCTTTTGAAATATGTTTTTTTTTTTTTTCTTTTTTTTTTGGTAAATATTTATTAAATTTATATTAATAACTGTACTGCAAGTAGTAAATAATAGAATTTATTTCAGCCGAAATGGACCATTATTTTTTTTTATAAAAACAAGAAATGAAAGTACTTAAAAAAATGTTCATGCTTCAGTCCACATAATGTATGAAAATTCCCAAACTTCTGATCCAAAATTTTAATGATTTTAAAAAAAGCATTAAGAATAAATTTTTCGACTTATTTTGTGACTAATATTTCTATAATAGTATATTTTTCGAATAAATTTAGTCAATTTTTACGAAAATTAGGATTACATTGAAAATTACGTATTCTAGTAATACTTATTTGTCGGCGATTGACCGTAAGGGCTATTAGCATAAATTATTGTGAAATTTATTGTTATAGAATTTCAAAGAGAATCGTTAGAAATGAAAACGTGTTTAGCATCCCTCGGGCAAAATCATAAACCTTACTAAATGCCCGAAAAATATAAATTCGTTTCCTATGATTTCTCAGAATACTCACTTGGGATTCAAATAAAAACAGTTTTCGGTCCTGCTTTTGCATCGAGGATTAATTTCTCAAGCGTAAACTCGTTTCGAATGTACAAAATACAGAAAAGCCACCGGATTTCAAATGATCTTTTAATATCGAGAGGATATTCAAATTTTCTCTGTACAACTTACGCGATCGTTTCGTCACTTAACGAGGGGCACATCTTCGTGCATTATAATGTACATTTCGGAATATCAGGCGACAATTTTTTCCTCTCGTTTTTACAATTTTACATAATTTTACAGGCACTTGCCCATGAATAAATTGGGTGGGGATAAAGATTCGATTATTGAATGACAAAAACGCCAAACTCACGGGGTATAAAAACTCTGTGAACTCGTCTTCCAAGTCAGTCGCAAGTTTTCTTCAACTGTGCATCTTCCAGTTTCTGAGAAGCCAAAACCTTCACATCTATCAATATGAAGACGGTAACAGTCATTTTTTATTTTATTTATTTATTTATCTATTTTTTTAACAAACAATGTTTGAAAATTGGAAAACACTTTTCAAAATTGTTGCATTAGATTTTTTTCTCAAAAAAACAATACATCGTTTGTGCTAGAAAATTATTATTGCTTTTTTTTTTGTTAGTAGTTATAGTAGCAATCATACCACTTGTCATTGACAAAATTTTAGCCAGAAAAATAAATAATTATGTTGTGAAGAAGAACAAAATTGTCTTTTCAAGTTGTCTAAATGTTTATACATTATTAACATCTCAAGTAAAAGTAAGTTACAATGTTTTTCAATAAAAAGATTCGTGATAGGGTGTTTTAAAACGTATAAAATGCTTTTTAAGCAAGTCCACATGTGCCACTCCAAACGACAAGAAAAAAAAAGAAAAAAAAATTATAGTATCGATCCCTGGTGTACGCCATTCGCAAATATCGGTCAGGAGCGATTTGTGTTAAAAGTTGCAAAATACGGGCAAGAGAAACAGAGCAATTTGGATAGTCAGTCGCAATCGCGTCTAAAGTGCATCGGTATCCTTGAAAAACCGCGTCAACCGATTTGGGGAGAGAAAGAGCGAGAGAGAGAGAGAGGGACGCGCACGTGAAAGAAGAGGGGCAAAATAAAACAATAGCCGAGTTTCTTAAGGGCTGTCAGTTTGGTAACGGCCCCTCTGATCGGCTGACGTCCTCCACGCGCGCCATTATTGGCCTCCTTTTCTCTCCCTTTTTTTTTTTTTTTTCTTTTTTATCTTTTCTTTCACGTGTGCCATTGGCGGTGAGCTTGTTCGCGTGCGGAACTCGTTTCGCTACCCTCTCTTTCTCACGGTGAACGAGAGTTGGAGGAGAAAAAAAAAGATACAAAAATCGGCAACAAGAGGATGCGTCCAACATTGCCTAATATCGATCGAGATGTTGTATATGTGCCGGGGAATCGGGTAGTTTCTCGTGAATACACAACGTTTCGCCCGCATAATTACAAGGACCAATTTTTCCGAATTTTTTCCATTTATTTTTTGTTTTTTTTCTGCAACACAAACAATAAATGTAACGTATTTCTCTTGTTTATTATTTGGAAAAACAACCGGTGAAATCAATGCAAACTTTGACCCAAGAGAGACGCGTACGGTATGTAGAGAGCCACACACATCGGCGGTACTCTGAAAGACCGGCTAGTAACGATCGATCCCCCCCCCCTCCAATAATTTACTTCACCTTCTCTCTTCTCTGTAATCTCTATATAATACACAGCGTCTTCGAACGACAACTGAATACATTATACCGACACACGGGTGCACACCCACGCACGTATATATACGTACATACCGTGGTTTGCGCAACGTCGCATCTGATGTCGCGAGTCGGCTGGGTGAGGGAAAGGACATTTTTTTTCCTTTATTCGTCCTTTTTTTTCTTCAACTTTTAACCGCATACACATACACACACACACATATTCATACGGGTATAATAATGATAATAATAATAATAGATACACGTGTTTGAAATTCACTGCGTGGCTGTATAGCAGCGATCCGCATGCCTATTTAGGTACCGCGGCGTATACACGTCGTGGAAAGGTCGCGTACAAGGAGCGTCTTCTTTTCCTCCCTTTCATTCTGCAAACAGATATATACGTGCCAGTGGCACGAGAGAGCCACAGATCGCAGCTTCTCTCTATATATATATATACACGTTTAACACAAGCAAAGAGAGAGAAGTAGAGATTAGGTAAACGGCAGCCCAAACGGGGAGAGTTCTTGATGATTATTGCGCAAGTCGAGCTGAATGGGGTGCCCCTCCTCCCTCCCGACGAAAGTGTTTATCACACTCCGTTCCCTCCCCAGAGCTGATTCTATCGCCCCGAGGCTCTTCGATCCATACAGCCACGCGAATACATTCCTCTTTGATCCTTTTCTTTCCACCATCTCCCCCCCCCTGTCGCGACGTCGCTCTTATATTATTATATGCTCTTTAATTTTATACTAATGGCGGAGTGTAATAAGTACCTATGTACCTTCTGTATATATAGTATACGCTATAGCTGTTACCGATTACCGATTTATACTGTATTCGCAATATAACATTATAAGCGCGTGATGGAATACCTTAGACGTGTACCTATATTATGTTATGTATACGTACCTTTCGATTAAATTTGCTCCGAAGCTGTTATGTAAATATTGTATATGTATATATACTCGTACCTATTGAAATAACCGCGAATAGGATGCCGATACAATTATATACATATTATGCTCTGTTACATGTCTATCATTGGGTGTTTGCCCGACAATTATAATAACCATTAGCTCATTTCAATATAAACGCTCTCCTCTTTCCTTCGAATGTTGAAATGTATCACAGATCGGTATTTTTTTTTTCCTTCTAAATCTTTAAAAGTGCGTGATTAAAATTTTCATCGCCAACTCTTCGGAACTGTTTCAAGCGTCTGCAGTGAAAAATCACCCATTGGGAGATGATTGAAAACCTTTGGATTAAATTTTCGATTTTCCTCGAGCCATAAATTTATAGTTAACACCATAGTTTATTTAATCATAATAAACACGCTCATCTTCACGCGTAACGATTTTCGACGAAATTCGTTAACCATCGTCCTCTCGCTCGTTCAAACCTCTCCTACACCCCCCCCCCAAATTGGGATACACATACCCATTACAACAAACACGTACAAGCGTGCTGTATAATATAGTCTCTATAGTTTCACAAGATCACCTTTAATTTATTAAGGGTTTGGCAACAATAACAAACCTACATGTACCTACAACCAGAAATTCATAGGTTATGAAACACGTTGACAAATAACGCTACTGTCTACACTATGTACCGCAGTACAAAACCGATAAATACTTGTAACAAAAAAAAAAAAAAAAAAAATCATTGAACCTCGCAATTTTTAATTCCAGATCGCAGTATTCGCCGCCCTCGTGGCCGTAGCAATGGCAGCCCCTCAGTTCGCCCAGCAACAACAACGCGTGCAGCCCGATGTGTACCTCCTGAAGGAAACCCCCTCGAACAACATCGGAATTGATGGATACACTTTCGGCTTCGAACAGTCCGACGGACAAAAGAGGGAAGAATCGGCTCAGGTTGAATTCCGTGGCCCAAAACCCGAGGATGCCATCATCCGCGTCCGCGGATCTTTCAGCTACGTTGCCCCTGACGGCAACACGTACACCGTTTCCTACATTGCCGACGAAAATGGCTTCCAGCCCCAGGGCGCCCACTTGCCTGCTTAAAAGACTCATGCAAGGATGTAGATAGTTGTTTTAGTTTGAATTAAATTGTTTTTAATTAGAAGCACATAAACATTTTTGGTTTTTTCATTTGTCTCCATTTTACAATAACCCACCTTGTCCGGGGGGGTTACGGAACCGATAACTTTTTCGCCCATTGGGATGTGTCAAACTGACTTATTCCTGGAGCCTCTGAATTATAAATATGTTATTGAACCACTGGTGAGCTAAGGGCTCATTAATCGTTTTATACCTCTCGAGTGTGGGGTGGGTTCATCACCCAAATTAACCCCTTGATGATAAACCTCAATCGATTTCAAGTTTAACATCTTACTCAAATGAACCCTATGGCATTGCCGTAACGGATATGAAACGGAATACACTTGAATGTAATTTAAACTTTTGATTTTTAATTGGTGAAAAATTTTTTACTTTTGCTCAAGTAAATAACGCGCATCAACTTGTTTATCGATTCATCCAAACGCAAAGCAGTATCATTACCTTTGTAAACGGGTAATAGATCATGTTTATTCAAACATTTTTAAAATTTTTGAAACTTTACTTCTACTTTATATGGAAATACTTTATGAATCGGTTGAGATTTTGGGCTGAAAAACATGAGTTAACTAAATTTTTAAATTGCATTTTACGTTTAATGCGGTTTGAAATAGTTTTGCACCAAATTCATATTTCACATATTTACTTTTGAAAATTGATTTAAAAAAACGAGGGGAATCAAACTTAGTTAGGGATCGATTCGTTGATCGTTCATCGCCTGTCAGTGAAAGATGTCCAATCGAGAAAATTAGCTTGAATAGCACAAAGCACCTTCCGATCGATAGATTTCCAATGCAAACAAACGTCAACGTCTGGCATTATACACACACGAGATCCGCCATCAGATATCCACTTACAATAACCCATTACCCTTATGTTTTTTTTTTTTTTTTTTTTCTGTTATCATTATTATTATTGCATTACTCGAAACACACACAGGCATAGGATTAAATTCTGTTATGTCGAATCCATAATCTCACTCTCTCTCTCATCTCGTCATCTCGTGTCCATCGCTCTTGTAGACACGCACTGCCACGCCTCATAATAACACCATTGGACTCAATATCTTGATCGCATGGTACAAGCTACGTAATGTACTTTCTACGCGTTGATGGGAGACACGCGATGAAAGACACACGATTTTCTAAACTTGTAGTTTTCGACGAAAGCCCACGACTATTTCGTAATTGACGCGGAAAGTGACGCGTTCATTAGAGAGGCGATGTCTCACGTTTCAGGTGTGAAGTGCTATATATAATTGATGGGAGCTAGACAGAGCTACTCTTTTACCATGGCTAGATGTATCCTTTTTTTTCATCTCGAGATCTATTAACGCAGGGTTTCATTATCCATTCGGTATACGATTTCGTACCTTTTATTTTTTTTTTTTTTCAATAAAAATTTTTTATTTCCAAACTATTGATCCACGCTCGTGTACTCTCGAATCGTTTCGCTTCGAAAAGTTTACCTGCGTGTACATACACGATCGTTACAAAATCAGGCCCCCGAGGCATCGTCGTCTATGATTATTAAAAATAAGCTTAAATTTTAATAGATAGCTCGCTCACAGCTTGTATACCCCCAAGTTATTCATTAAGCTCGTAATATTCAAATGATGCAAGAGCATTTTAAGTTTTACGAGATTGAAATAAGGAGGAGGAGAAAAAAAAAAAAAAAAAAAAGTCCCACAATCCTCGGCGTATCACGTATGCAATTACATAATGCGCTTACAACGAAGCTCATCTTTGGCTTTTGTAAATTTATTTTTCATTCGACGCGCAGTAAGAGGATTTTGTTAAAGACTTTCGAGTCAGTTGACAAGTATATTGACGCTTTTTTTTTTTTTATTGGGATGATAAATTTCACAAAGTTAAACGGTCCCCGGCTTGTTTGGCTTTTTTTTTTCCTTTGTCACGCCTGAAATCCTGTAATTTAATTTTTTTAGACATTCGACAAAGAACTCGTTGGATTGTTTTCGATTCAGTTGAAAAATATCTAAAGCACGTACAGTATAACAATGTAACGCGACAAGCAACGGATATACATACAGAGAGAAAGAGAGCGTACGCGGAGTGACAAAAAAATCAGAAGTAACAATATATAATATCCCGTCAGGGTGACTGTACTGTAATACGCTCTTCTCGATGATTTATAATACATCCAATGCAGAGGCGCTCTCCGAGAGTCGTTGGATGGGAGGGAAAAAAAAAAAAAAAAAAAGAATTTGGCAAGGAGAAAGAGTAGCTACGTGTACGAAGCTCGTGTGTCTTCTTTCGAAACGCCTCTTCGTTCTGCTGCCACGTTACGATATCCAATATAGATATGGGTGTATATATGAACGTTACATACCGGTGAAAAAAAAAAAAAAAAAAACCGGCCGGCGTTACATTCCAGCTGAAATCTTCTTTTATAAGAGAGAAACAGTGGCGGCAGAGTTGCCCGAACAATGAACACATGCCGAAATACTTGTCCTATACACGAGACTCCCCCACACACCCTTTCTCTCTCGTTTTGCCAGTGTACTTATATACACGTAGATTGTGGTATAGGAAAATTCGCGTTGTTTCGTGCAATACATATATATTACATTTGCATGCACGTATAACGTGTGCACATTTCTTTTCTTTTTTTTTTCCTTTTTTTTTTTAGCATAATACACGTAGCAAGTGTAGCCGTTGACGCGGAATTTTACGCTTCGATCGCCCATCGAGATATTTAATGGCGAGTGTTACAATATAACTTTCGATTGTTTGTGCGACTTACAACCTTTTCGTAAGACATGCTACTTTGGACGATTCGATGTTGTTGTTTAATCGCAATAAGCTTCCCCCGCGACTCGTTTCCCCGACCGATGTGTACACAGATTTTTTTTCATTTCAGTCGTTCGAGAAGGATGCGTGTATTTACGTGGGTGTGCATGAGTTTCGTAATTTTCGTGAACATGCGCGCGTTAATCGAGCGAGAAATTACACGCGCAAACTTCGGCTTGTCCCGAGATGTATGAAAAAAGAAATGTCCATCTTCGAACCGAAGCTTCTCGCAAACACCATACACATATATATATATATAGAATATACAATGATTTGCTTACTCTTTCTTTCTCTCGACACAACATCCGTCAAGTAGGTATACGCCTTACGTGTATATATGCATGCCCGTCTTACTTCCTGGAAGCTCGAGTTTTTTATCTTTCGACGCGACGAGAAAGGATTCCATTAGCGAGGGCATCGAAAGTGCCGATTTTTGGGTCACGGGTGCTCTGCTCTCTCTGTGTGTGTGTGTGTGTGTGTGCCGTCGCCTCTCTCCCTCTCTCTCTCTCACTCCGATGGGATGAGTTATCCTTTCGACCCGAGGCGAGAACGAGAAAAGAAGATGTGTACAACCTTGCCACGGGATTACCGCTTCGATCGCGTAATACTTGTGTATATGTATACCTGCTGCGCGCATCGGCCCGTAAAACACCAACGTCCCCGCCATCCTGCTTATAATATACACATGTGTGTATTATACATATATATGATGGCTTTCTTCGCTTTGCTTGTGAGTGTCATTGTACGAACCGAGATTGTCTTGTGCGTGTATATGTGTGTGTGTGTGTGTGCTGTATTGTTTTATTTTATTGCGAATAATTTAATTTCAATCAACACCATTGTCTTCGGAAAATTATGTTGTTACATTGTTGTAATTATCTCGAGTGAAGAATTTACGTACGGTGCGTTTTGCGACGTGTCGTAGTTTTTTAGAAACATTTTTGTACTTTTCACACGCGGATTTTTATCATTGAAAATCCATAGTTGAAAGCGATAGCTTTGGAATACCATGGCTAAGGGTCATTATCTAATTGGTTGGTATACTTGTACCTCCAAACTATGTGAAATCTAATTGTAAGTTGTGAAAAGTTTGCACGAATCAAACGATGAAACTGTGAGAAACTCAAAGCTAAACTATATATATATATATATATATATATATATATATATATA